TGGGCATGCTGAATTACTCCCTGTGAGGTGTTGGGGGTGATACAATTATTTCCAAGTTAAATTAAGTTTCTCCTGGAATCCTTTATTTGAATTTCTTATTGTCGTATTTCTTCTCTCATGCCCTTCAGTTACAACATTGATATGCTGTAGATTTTTGATGGAGGAAACTACCCACACCAATTTCTATCTAAAGGTCACAGCTGAATATATATATATATATTTAAAGTTTTATTAATAATTTTAACTCATTTCCTTTTGTTCCAGTAGAAAAAAAAATGCCAGAGATTGGTGGATATTAAAAAAAAAAAAAAAGAAAACACAATGAACGTAAGATATCCAGTTTAAGTATCCCAGATCTGAAAGCTGGATGTGTGTGAAAGACAAACATTGCTTTCCATTAATGTTTGAAGATTTCACATATTTTATTCCAGCAATTTTCAGATAAATTGACATATGTATCCAAGGAAGAAATACCATTCACCTAAGACAAGCTTTGAAGGAGGCATTCAGTATGTTAAGGTGGAAAAAAAAAATATTGCAAATACTCCATTTCCATTTTTTAGCTTTCTCCAAGATGTTTTTGTTAGATATGGATGCCCTTGATTAAGACTGAATATTTCTGAATTTTAATTTAACTATTTTATGAATGGGTTGGACTATTTGATTGCAAAAAAACTGATGTGGCATATAGTTGATCAGGGCTACATATGCCATAAAATGCCATAAAAACACCCACAGAGCAAGTTTTGTCCAAGACACCACAGACTTGCTATGGAAACTTAAAAACATAGACCACCTTCCCAGCAACACACTCCTAGCCACCATGGACGTTACCAGCCTATACACCAACATCCCACACCAGGATGGCATCCATGCCTGCCTTACATATCTACAGGAACAAGATTACAACCCAGAATACAGACCCAAAGATATCACTGAGCTTATACACTTCATCCTCACACACAACAATTTCACTTTTAATAATCAACACTTCCTCCAGATGATGGGAACAGCTATGGGCACTAAAATGGCCCCACAGTATGCCAACCTTTTTATGAGCCACCTGGAAGAAGACTTCCTCAAGAACTGCACCATCAAACCCTTGCTGTACTTACGATATATCGATGACATCTTCATCATTTGGAGTGAGAACCTGGAATCTCTACTTGAGTTCCACCAGAAATTCAACAGTCACCATCCCTCCATCCGACTTTCTTTAGAATACTCCAACACCAACATCCCCTTTTTAGACACAAGGATCAGTATCCAGAAGGGTAAAATACAGACCACAGTATACAAGAAACCCACAGACCAACATACATATCTGCACAGAACCAGCAATCACCCGAAACACACCAAAAAAGCAGTGATATACAGCCAAGCCCTCAGATACCACCGCATCTGTACTGAAGAGAACACCTGGGATTGCCACCTCACCAATCTTAAAAAGGCTTTCACCCAGCAAGGACACTCCTCCAGAGAGGTAGATCGCACGTTTGAAAGAGCCACCTGGATACCACGTGAAGAACTGCTGCAGTACAGAAGAAAAACACCCACAAATCGCACACCGCTGGTTATGACCTATCACCCATCCCTTGAACCTGTACGGAAAATCCTCAAAAAATTGCAACCCATATTAGAAAAAGACCCTATTCTTAAAAAGATCTTCCCAGAGCCACCCATCCTAGCCTTCAGACAAGCACCGAACCTCGCCAGCCTCATCACTAGAAGCAAACTTCCTCAAGCCCAGAACACACCAAAAGGATCCAGACCGTGCCATGACAAGAAATGCAAAACCTGCCCCCACATCTCCACCACCCCCACTATTACTACACCCCACAACAGAGCCATCAGCATCCCAGGATCTTACAGCTGCACCTCCAGGAATGTAGTATACTTCATCCAATGCACCAAATGCCCTGATGGAAGATATGTAGGAGAGACCAGACAACAACTGCGCACCAGAATGAACGCACACCGGAAATCCATCAAAGACAGAAACACCCAATTACCGGTGGGGGCACATTTCTCACAGGAAGGCCACTCTCTCTCCAATCTCTCAGTCCTGATCCTCAAGGGAAACTTACACAACACTTCCCAGAGACGAGCCTATGAGCTCCATTTCATCAACCTCCTGGATACTAGAGATCAGGGACTAAATATAGACATTGGATTTTTGATACATTATAATCTGCCTGGCAACTGACTCCCCCACCCAGCCCAGGCCCTGGCTTCTTTACTTTTCATTCCATCCAGGAAGAGCACACACCAACTGCTGCAGCTTCCTGAGCCTGACGAAGGGTTTTTGAACCCGAAAGCTTGCTTAATAACTATTCTCCAACCATTTGGATTGGTCTAATAAAAGATATCAAATTCACCCAAGGAACCTTGTCTGCCCATAAAAACAAGAATATGCTTATCCCAAGAAAGTAAAAACTAAGCAAAACAATAACATTTCTTTAATCATAGTTACCAGGGAGAAGAATCTAAACTGAAAAGGGCAGTTTCATTAAAAGTGATTGCTAATTAAATAGACGTTACAAAATTTGCTTATAATTGATCTTTGGGACTTGCTAGCAAGTCTTTAAAGAAATACAAAACTTATTTTAAATGAAAAGTTATGATTTGCCTTAGGAAAGGGGGAAATTGCTCATTGCCATTTATTTTTTTGCCAAATGAGTAACAGGCTGTAGTACTGATGTATGAAAAGCAGAAATGATAAATAATCCAAGATAGATTGTGATCTGGACTACTTGATATGTGCTAGGGAGATTAATACCCTCTCTTCTCTACCCCAACCCCTGTTTGCACACTGTTTAGGAGTAATCTATTCATTCCCTTCCTGGAGCAGGTAGACTGGATAAGAATGGCTAGGGAAAAGATTCAGGCTGAGTTGAGTTTCACACCACTTACTGGCCAATGAAGCTCAAGAAAGTGTCATATTATGCTTCTAAAGGAGATCAGTAGCATGTTACAACATTTCTTAGAGCAGGTACCATCATTCAGGGATGTGCATTTTATCATGTTTGATATTTTTTTAACATATCCAAGAAAGTTTCCAAAAGTCTTGATGTTTCTCTCCCATTGAAAATATTTAGAAAAGAGCTCAAATGACAATTCCCAGGTCTGGAGTTAGACTCAAACTTCAGGGTGTTCAAGTATATGGCTGTTTTAGACCGGTCTGTGGAAATAGTTGTTTAAGCGGGGAAAACTATTTAACTTTCTTTGCAGTTAGTTAACGGTAAATCACAAAGATGTGGGGCAGGTGATCCCATGCACAAAATAATACATATAATCTAGATATAGGTATAACTAGATATATTTTCTACTTTCTTTCCATGCTCACTAGCCCCAGTGTGCTCCAAATGTGTGTGTGTATAAGAGAATGAAAGAATTTAAATGTAGTAAAAGCCTTAAAAGGTGGCTATTCAGTTTCATTCTCAATTAAGCCTGTGATTTCCTGTATGTATTTAGGTAGCCCTATCCTGCTATGTATCCCTATTTTCTTCTCTGTACAATGAAAATAATATTTACCCACTTTTAAATGTGCCGCAGATTATCAGCTGAAGGGCACTAGATAAATGCAAACTAACCTTATTCTTTAAGGCTAAGCAGTGAAAGTGAATAGATTTCATAGGCATTAGGGCTGGAAGGGACCTCAAGTCCAGCCCCCTGCCCCAGGGGCAGGAAGTCAGCTGGGGTCATAGGATCCCAGCAAGATAAACATCCAAATTTCTCTTGAAGGTTTTCAAAGTAGGTGCTTGAACCACCTGTGGCAGCAGGCTATTCCAGACCTTGGGGGCTCAGACAGTAAAGAAGTTCTTCCTTATGTCCAGCCTGAAACGGTCTTGGAGGAGTTTATAATCGTTCGACCTTGTCATCCCTTGGGGCGCTCTGGTGAACAAATGTTCCCCCAGATCCTGGTGAGCATCCCTTATAAACTTATAGGCAGCCTTCAGATCATGGAATGATGTATGATGATACATAATACATCCATTTTCTAGTAAGGAAACCACTCATAAATAGTTCTAAATTTAAATTTGGCACATATGATGCAAAAAAAGGCATTTCCAGGAGACTGCAACATAGAGGGAAAAAAGGAAAACATTTTAGCATAAGCAGCTTCATGTAACTGTGCTGCTCAAGGACATAAGCAATACCTCACAGAAAAAAGTTCTTTCAAGGGACTCTTGCTCTATTCTACACCATGTCAAGATTAATTAAGCTGACTGTGCATGCAAAACACAACCTCCCCTGTTCTTTAACTAACCTCTCCCAGCATGCCCCAGCCAAGTCATCACTATGGCAACTAATCATTCCCAAATCCATCAATATTACAGCAACATGCATGATCCATCTTATGTTATTATTTATAATTGATCCCCATGGAAACATTTGTTAAATATGTGTAACACAAACAGAAGTTTGAAGATGCAGATGCCTTTGAAGTTGATGTCAAAATGCCATCAGAGATGCCGTGTACCCATAATACAACAACATTTGCTACTTCAACAATTCCCTTCCCCTTATAAGGCAATATGTAAAAGAAGAAGGTTCAAACTAGCATGCAGAATTGCATGCATAAACAAACTAAAAGACACTATTAATTAAAGTTCATTAGTATAGTATGTTCCATGTAGAAAATATCCCTGAACAAGTGTACAGCTGTATTCTTCACTAGCTGATATATGCTAAGTGATCATCAGATGATCATTAGCACCTATGGACTCCAGTAATTGGTCATCTATAGTTATAGTTTCTGAGTAGATTGTCTTTTATGGGAATATAATAGAGATCATAAACTGACAGGACTTCAATCCTTATTTCACTACAGGTATTTTCCTCTAACTAAGACAAAAATAGTTTGGGTACTCAAAACAGCTGAGGGGTTCTAGCTTGTGCTCTTTACTATTAAAAAACCAACAAAACCCCTGTATCAAGGAAGTTACTATCAATGTCACCAGATCTTGCTGTTTTCTCTAATCAGCTGGAAGCAATCTCTCTCTCTCTTGCAGGAACTCATCTTGAGCTAGCAAGTTCCCCTTCTGACTTGCTGTAATATTTTCGTGAGTTTACTTTTAGCCACTACATCTAATGCAGGGAAAAAAACCAAAAACAGTAGTCTGCCAGCTTAGTGGGTGAGTAACTAGGAGTTTATAATAAATATGCATCATGAGTTGCAATGGTTTCTTATATCCAGAGCAGCAAGAATAGGAAATATTTAGAAAATTGGGAGTTATGTCTTTGAATGCTAACAACCATTTCTGATTCTGTAATGGCCTTATTATATGAGAGCATGTCACTTCATTTCTGTTTCTCTTGGCAGTCTCCCAGAGCCTGCGGTTTGGTTTGGTTTTGTCTTGCTTGTTTGCTTTTTACCTTCAGGGTTTCCATTCTTTTGTTGAAACATTTGCATGAGTGAAGGCCGTTTCTGAGTTGATGCTGTGGGCAGTTGGTGTCAGATAGGTAGAAGGAGTTCATGCCTGTCTGTTATGAGCACCTTTAACTAGTGGATCAAGATGAGTGATTTAGGTAATAATACTATATGCCATAGAAATGTAAATACAAAAATAACAAATACATGAAAAATAGAGCTCAGGATGCAGCAATATAAGCTGCAGTTTGAGAGGAAAGACATGATGAGCATTTAGTAATGGAAGCAAATAGAATTTGTGATTGCATTGTCATCCATGGAGACCAGGGCAGCACTATAAAATTCAAACTGACACGCCTTACAAAATGACAGGAAAAAAATACCATAAGAACAGGTCAGTGGGTCACTGACAACTATTTTAATATGCCTGGAAATGAATATGCACCTGTAGCAAACTTTAGCTTGAAATTATGAACTTGTTTGCTACTGTAGATTGTTAAGTATTCATCAGTGTGCATAGTCAATGCAAACATTATGTGCCTGCATTCTTCCTTCTCCTCAAAAAGAGGAATTCAAATGTTTATTTAAATAAAGGCACACTTTTCATTAGTATGAGGCTTGGGGGTCATTTTTATTTAAAAATAAGTCAGGGATGCACAAGGACTGGAAAAAAAAAGTCGTGCTACTAGCACATTTCATGTAGTTAAGCACTTATATTTAAATCTATTTCTAATATGTAGTCATATAGATTATATGTATATGAGAGACCTCCATTTATGAGATGCAAGTCCAGTGATATGCGGTATCATGGTTACAGGGTAGTAATGCTTCAGACCCCCTTTAGACTATTTCAGAAGCCCCCACTGAAGAGTAAGTTTTGCTGCTTCAACTCTTTTTCGGAGGAACTGTCTAATCCTATCCTCTGATGTTAGACCCTTAGCTTGTAGCTGCTCCGTTGAACTGCATTAACCCAAAATGTCCCCACCCAACTGCATATCAAACTGAACCAAGGAATAAAATTAAATAAGCTAACATGTTTGTTTCCTTTTCCATGCAACTGTCCTTGCAAACATCAGTAAATTCCACTTAGCATAACTGTCTCCATCTCTGGGCTGGAAGGAAATCTGCTTGTTATGACTTCTGTATCTTCTTTCTGACTCGTCCTCTGAAGGGATCTCCTCCCAGGCATCTGTTGACAACCCACTGAAAGTCTTTCTTCCTCAGGCTGTCCTCTTTAAAGTTTAATATGCCTTTTTATTCTGGGCTTAGACATGAGAAGATGAATTTTGCCAACCTGACTAGCATCAGACAGCGGCATTTCTCATTTCATAGCTCCTCCATTCCTTGAAGACTTGGTGTTCACGGGCCTCTGCCTTAAATCAAAGGATAGTATCAAACTGAGTTTATACCACACACAGCAAACTGGAGGAAGTATCTTAAGGAAAGTGTGGCTGAAATGGAAATGGTTGAGGTGTGAAGACTTGGAGTGTTAAATAAGGAGGAATATAAGAAGAACTATATTAGCCATTAAAGCTTGCCAAAAAAGTTCAGAAAAATTAATATTTCACTGAAAACTGGAAAACATAAATCCTTATTTATTTGTTTGTTTATTTATTTATTTATTTTGCAGTCCCTATTATTTCTGTCCCCTCTCTAATTTATTTTTTGACCATATTGTTTGATCAAGTAATTCATTTTCACCACAAAATGACAATACGGTTTCCTAGAAATAGGCAAATGTCTACTAGATCTTTTGGGCTAAATTCTTACCTGCTTTTGAAGTCTTGGTTCAATTCCTCATGCCATCTTAGTTTGTCCCTATTCTAACTTTATTATCTTCTTTTAAATTTTCTGGATGATAAAAATTTTATGGTAGGTCCAATGGCTTATGCTTTTTCTATGTCCTTCCTACCCCATCCTCAAACTTATTAAAAAATGAAAAAGGTATCTAGAGTTACAAATATGGGGAGACAGCCACTGTCCATCTTTTGGGATGTATTTCACATGCTCTGGATCTTTTAATAGTGTTTTATAATTGGAGTATGTTGCAACTTGTAAGTGGCATTTGGCTTTATCTAGTCTAGTTCTTTATGATTGTAGAATGATTCCTTTGTCTTTTTAGTATTTAATGAGGGAGGAGAGAGGAGAGTTTGGTTGTATTTTTCTGGTTTGTGCTTGAACTTACATTTTAAACATGCTTGTAATGTGGATTTAATCCTTTATGGCTTTAATTATATCAGGCAATTTACTGAAGATTGATAAATACAAGTTATCTTGAATACCTACTGGTAAACTAACTTAAAGACTTAGTCATGCAATTATATTGACCCCCACAGAGACACATTTGTGCAAACTCAATAGCACGATGTGTTGAGTGTGTATGAAACAACTTGATTCATAGATTATTAAACAAAATATAATAACTGATATTTATATCTTCTGCAACTGCCTGTAATATTCATTCCATGTTATTGTATATTGTAAGTTCCCATAGGGATTTTCCATTTCCATAATAGAAGGCTAGTGTTCAGACTACAGAAAATCAAATCTTTTTTGAGGGTGAGGACAGTTCCAGGGGAAACAGAAGGACAGTTAAATTGTATTAATGAGTTAAGCCCAATCTTGACATATCTATAAGGATTATTTTCTTTGTTCACATGAGTAGTCCCACTGACATAAATGGTTCCCTTGAGTTTTTACTTTGCATGGATCTGTAGGAGTGATACTTTCCCCTCCCTCCTCTCACAATGGGACCCCTTTGTGGATCAGCACTGTGGAGGAATTAGATACTCTCTTGGCAATGGGTTTCATAGACAAAGACAGATAAGGAAGATGAGGTTGTAAATTCTCTGGCTCTTCTCCAGGCTCTGTAAAGGAGGGTACTCTAGGAGGCACAGGTCCCCCTCTCAGTTCCTCCTAAAGCTTGATATCTCCTGACTCATCCCCTCCCAACCTGTCTTTCTTCCTGCCCTGTTTCCATTTCCCACTCCAATTCACTGTCATATTCATGCCTTCTCCAGCTTCTCTCTTGCCTCAGTTTCCTTGCCTTGTTCCCTCTCTACTGGGCCCTCATTTGTTCTTTCTCTCTCATTGACGCCTTAGCCATGAAGCACCTCTTCTCCTCTTGACTCCCATTTCGAACATTTCTTTCACTGGCCTTCTTGTCCACTCTCTGTCCTTGCTCATCCTCCTAAGTACTGGTTTCAAGTCTCAACCCCTGTCTTTCTCCCTAGCATTAGGTACTAAGCCACTTGTATAGCTGGTTCTAGTTTCCCTTGTCCACCCAAAAAATCTCCCTTCTCTTACCCTAACCTCCTTGTTCCACCTGACTTGGCCAACTGCCATTCCTTCCCCATCTCCTTTTTCGTTACTTTTTGTTTCCTCTGCTCTCAAACAGAGTGGTTTCCTTTTTCATGCTGCCTGGGTCCAAAGATTTGCTAAGAGCCTAAGCAAGACATGCTCCTTGCTCCTAGTTTAGATAGTTGGAACCAATATGGTCCCCAGAAGTCCAGAGTTGTAACTGCAGTGAAAATACTGGACAGATGAATTGACCTCTTAATAAAATGTAAATGCCAAGCTATAGAACATCTCCTTTGATCATGTGTAAACTGTGATTTCTTTAACGATTGAATTTGGTCAAATTCAGGCCAATTTTTGAGGATGGCAAAGGACAGATGCCAGATGCAAAATCCACTCCCTGCAGTGCTTCAAAATATGGGAATGGTACAGGTGTTCCAAGAAAAGGTCACCAGAATTTTTTTAACAAATGAAAAAATGACGACATTTTTGCTTACCTAAGTTCTCAGGTTCAGCTGAGCTCCTTTGGGCAGTTGGCTTTCTAATATTCAGCCTGAAATAGAAACGCAGTGGGCATATCTTCATGAGACGCTACTGCACATTTATTTAGTACTTGTATTACACCTAGTCTTTTAGGTGACGCTACTGTGTAGTAGCCTAATAATGCTGTGCAGTAGCGTATTTGCACTGTCTGTGCTTTGACACACTACTGTGCACTATATTTTGGTTACTGCACAATCAGCATCTCTTGTAGATGCACCCAGTGTGGAATATTTCAGCACAAACAGTTGAAGTTTAGTAATATAATATTGTAGGGCAACCTTAATAATGAGTGGTGCCACCAGTGTTGCCTATAATGATGGCTGCAATTCTGATCACTTTATTAAGAAAAGCATCCCACTGAAGTCAGTTCTAAGGAGAATATCTCCATAGCATTATGATTTCCTAAGATCAAGGCCATACATAGAAATGTCTAATTAGGAAACCATTGTCTCTTGTCATAAAACCCATTATTTGTGTCTGCATCTCAAATCAGAATAAGCAATATTTTCATGTGTCACAAGCTAAAACAGTATAATGTACCCAACTGTTTAAGTCAAAGGGATTTTTTTTCCTGTGTCAGAAAATCAGTGTCAGGCCTTGAACCTTTAAACATATCGAATTTCATAAGACTATGGAGATGGAGCTGTTAGGTTAAAGCAATAACTTGAAGCTTCATCAGAAGACTCATATGAAGGATATGACTTTCAGGCTGTTACAATAATAATAAAGTTGACTTTCCTGATAAATTGAATTCCATTGACAAACAACCACCCAAAACACTGCTTTAACTTTTAATAGTTTTTAAATATCCCAAAGAAATGTGCCATTTTTAAAACTTGCTGCTCACCTATAAGATCATGAACAAGGACAGGATGTGATTACGCTGCAGTTGCACATTATTCCTGAACTATAATTCAAGTTACACATTTCAAAAGGGAAATTGTCCCACAAGAAGGAAATGGATGGTCTTTGATCTGAGCATTGTATAGGTCTCTTTGATTTAATGAATAATGACCAGAAAATGTAGAGCCTTTCTGTGTTTTGTCCAGGCACAACTGACAAGTGGTAGTGATTTGAAATAAATAACCCCATATTTGATGTTGATTAGCATACCAAAGGAAAGATGAAGATGATACTTCAGATGTTGTTATAATTGAATTAGTGTGTCAGATCCTAGTAATCAGTTGGGCTGCTTTTATTTGGGAGCACAATTTTAGTCGCATTGGATTGAAAAAAGCTGATGTTCTGTCTCTCAGTCTTTCTGTAAGTCAGTGCCCAGATCTCTGTCATAATTTTCTTGTTTTCTGATCTCCCTATATCCCATAAACTCCCTAACAGAGGATGCTACACATTTGAACAGTTGCTCCTGCAAAATTTGCAGGTGTATTAGTGTTTGCCTATTGGATATGTGGGTTTCCAGGGCTAGTGAAAAAGACTCCACCAATGCATACAGGTTTGGATTATTGTGTATCTCTTCCTTTTGTTTAGTAATAATCTAACTGGCTAGAAATAAGCAGACTCCAAGGGGAAAATAAACACATACCTATTTACAGATCACAGACCTTCAAGGTCTAACTTTTTAACTAGCTATGGTGGAAAGTTCTCATTGTTAATTTACACAGCAAAGTGTACGTGCATACATCTTAAAAATCTGCATGAATATAAAGATTAAATTTTGATTAGAACATAAAACAAACGCATTAAAATTATTCCTCCCTCTCCCTGATCTTTAAATTTTGGCAGAGGGAGAGGAATCAGTGCATTTTAGAAAATGATGCAACAGGAATGTTATGAATATATTATCTTTACTTTCATTAATTATGGCTATTCTATCCCTCTCTTTTTTAACTTCAAAGTACTTTATATCATTGTAAATAATTTAAAAGACCTTGCAAATCATCCTTAGAAAGGCACAATAGAACATTCTGTTGTCCCTCTATGGCTAGTTACAGACATTACATTTTTACAGTATAAGTGATTACAAACTGGTCTATACCCTTAACAGCAGAAATTTGGCACACAAAACCAGTTTATACCCATTATAAAACAAAAGTTCAGCACATATAGACTGGTTTAATTTTTAGAACCCAGTCTAAGATTTGCCACTAAAGGGCAAATGTGTTGCCCACATGCCCTGGACCTGAAGAAGCTGCTACCACCATTAGGGGCGGCATTGGCAGCAGGGGGGTAGCGAGCAGCTGAATGCGGAGTTGCTGCTCCACCCAGCTCCATGTCGCCGCTGCTCTGCCTGGCTCTTCAGGGCCCCCAACTGCGGGGCCTGGGGCGGTCACCCCAATTCGCCCCTCCCTAAGGACGGCCCTGTTTGTACCTATCCTATATGAATGTTGTTATCTGGTAGTCAGGTAGCTAACATTTTTTGTTAATTGAAAGATAATGTCTTTGACATTTAAGGTAAACTGTATCTCTAATATCTTACCACTGTCTACGTATAGCACATATGGCTCAAAAATCTCCTTGAATGTTCTTTGGAATTTCTTTTGTCTGTCTTTCCTCCTCTTTTCCTTCCATGACCCTATGTAATTTAGCTGCAAAATAGATCCAAAAAATCTGGGAACAGTTTGTCCTCTAGCCTTTCCATTAATTGATGTCTGGAGGGTAGACAATGTAGTCTAATGAGACTGAATCTCGTGATCATGCAAAATGCCAATTTTCAAAAACATTTTATCTAAGCATTTGAGTATATATCCCTTGAAAATTGGCATAATTACACAGAATTGGAGTCTCAAAGATAGATAGAAGACTGATTCAGATGTTTCATTGTAAAGGAATGGTTAAAAGCAGTAAAATGGGATTGATGTATATGACATTGGTATCTACTGAATTTAACAAAGCACATTGTTCAAAAAGCCTCTGAAAAATATGTAAATTTCAAACCTTTCCCAGGAGTAGTCTTTAACAGAAGCAAATATCTCTAGATTTGTTTTAAATAAAAATCAACTTTTCAGTATTTACAGTGATATATTAATTTAGCTAAAAATACTCATTATTTTTTAAAATTTCTCCACAGCTATTAAAAGAATAAGTAGGTATGCTGCTGTGTGTTTTGAAGATGACATTTCTGCCTACTATTAAACCTTTTGCACATCAAGAAGAACTATTCCCTTGCACGGTGTGGTGCAGAGAATCATAGCAAGATAAGAAAATGCTGGACTGGCATACAATGACATCTTGTGGTTCAACTGCTGACTGTTTCCATTTGCTGGTAAGCTTATATTATACAACAATAATTTTTGTAATGTCTTAATTACAACATGAGACTCAGTTGAAATATATAATGCCAATCTGGGAATATATTAATATTATACATGTTAAATATTTAAACTATATTAAATACATACTATAAAAGTATTGAAGATATAAAAACTCAATAATTGCCAAAACTGTTTAAAGAAACCATGCTCCTTCCAAGTAATAGGTAACTAAGAGTTACTGTTGTTCCTTTAGAAGTATCCCCACAATTCTGGGCAAGTTTTCTACCATGAAGGAGGAGGAATAGCTATCCACATGTCTCATTTTCTGGATTAAAAATTCAGTATCACAGTCATTTTATGTGAGAATATAAGTGTATGTCCTTCCCCTCCCACCTGCCGTCCCACTGTAGAAGAGGAACTTTACAGCAGCTTAACAACTGCTATTTTTGTTTCAAAACAAATGGGCAGAAAGCTTATTGAAACTATACAGTGAGATAGATAAAATCCAGGAAAATGGATAGCAGGATACAATAGTTTGAAATAAGTTTTGATTTGCTAATAAGAAAAACTCAGCAAAATGTGAAATAACTGAAAAAATACAACTGCATGAAACATCGTGTGTGTCAGGATACATTAATTAAAACCATGTAACTTAATTAAGCATTTAAAATATAATAGCACAGTATAAATAGCAGGAAAAAGAAAAAAGAATAATCTGTGGAGTATAACTTAATGGTAAATCCTAATTTTTTTTCTGAAGAAACCTAGAAAACCAAGAGGAATAAAAAATTATTCCAAAGTGAATGAAACACCATCTTTTAATTTTTTCTGGCATTTATATAAGCATAAACACATTGCCATCCAGAGAAATCCAAAATATTTCAATAGATTGCTGGCTGAATTCATCAGTCTTGCTGATTTAATTTCCACGTTTCACACAGCCTAAGAGGGATATTTTTTTGATATAGTATGAAATTCTATACATCCACTTCTGATACTAAAATTGCAAGTGAGGTTTGAAAAGATTCTCCTTATAGTTGATAAATTCACAGCACAATTCACAATATATCTGAAAGAGCTACAGTGTTATGGTAAAGGGTTAGAGGTCCCTCTTCTCTTATATTGCTGCAGATATATCACATCTTACAGAATTTTTCATGTTGTAAATTGCCTTAGTGAATGTGCATTGTCTCCCCAGCACCCACAAATGAGTTTTGCATCAACTGAAAAAAATAATAGCTTATTTTTGGATCAGTACTTGAAAGGGGGAGGAGAGACGATAAGGAGGAGGTGTTACTTCACTTAACAGTCATGTCTCTACACAAGTATGAGAGTGATTTCTGTCTCCTGATGGAGATTGACTTTTGAAGGATCTACTCTTGGAGGTCTCTGAAGCAGTGAAACCGGATTGAACCCACTGTTAAATAAAACATTTTTTTGGTTCTGTGCTTTTATTTAATATATTGTTTGAGATTGGAGGTGGGGGAGGTGACTGTTCATTATGGAACATATTTCTCAAATCAAGTCCTTCTAGTGATCATGACAATATTAACCAAATAGTTGCAACAATTAGGTTTGCTAATTGCTGCAGGTGTAATTGTAACCACCTTGGTTAGATGAACATGGATTACAACATGCATGACATCTTAATGAGACTATCCAATCCCCAGACAAGGCTCAAGAACAAAATGAGAGAGTGCCTTTCACCTTATTCACATATTTTTTTAAAAGTTCAGTTTATAAAGAAAAACTTTGAAATGTGTTTATTGTATAATTAGTAGACTATAGTTTTCCTCTCATGGCAGATGCTTTGCAGTTGGACGTTGCTTCTATTTTTCTTTTAATATATCCAAATGCCACAATATATTTGTAAAGATATGAATACTTATGCTAATACAAAGAGTAGGCAGGTGCAGGAACCAAAAAATTTAATATCATTTACTGAGAAAACTATATAAAACCTCCAAAGCATTACCTTTATGGCATTTTAAACACTTTTGTTTAAGATTTCTGAATAACACCTGCTGTAGGCAGAAAATAAATTTGTTCTTAGTGCACTACGTGGAACATTTTCAGTGGGAATAGTGGTTTAAGTTCCTACTCTAAAACTAATAAAATAACCAATAAAACAGAAAAGTGTGGTGAGGTGTTGTTCTGTTTTGTGTGAGGTTGGAATGAGCGCCGCGGTTCATTTTCACTGAAGGGACAGATGCAGCCAAACAGCAGGCACTTTGGCCAGAAGGATGGTACATGCCTGATACTAGACAACCTGGGAACTATTCTTTGGCACAAAAAGCTGTCAGATTACTACCTCAGGAGACATGAGCATGCCCAAGTAATTCTTTTTCCCTTCTGGCCTTAGACTATGAGGTTTCTATGACCTATTTGTCTGCAAGTGAATTGTAGTACATGGAATGAATGGATTTATTTCCTGATTTATTTATCATGCAGCATCTGCATCGCATGTTGCATTCATTGGTTACCGAACTTTCCTCTGATAAACTCAGTTAATTGTTGCTTCAAGCAACTTTCATCTAAGCCAAGGTTTCTATAAATTTCAGAATACTGCGCCATTAGCATTCATTGAATTCTCACTGATATTTTTTTAGGATTACTTTATCAGTGCCAAGAGCAATACAAGGATAGAATTCTAGTTGTGATTTACAACATGTAATAAAACATTCCCTAACAACTGGAAAGGAAAGAGCAATTCTGTTTGTAGCACAGTTTATAGTATCTGGTTTCCATCAAGAATGTGATTTACAGAAGGACCCAGCAATCTGAGGTACTTGCTTTCCTTCCTTCTCCTTGCTAATTAGTTTAGACTAGATTTAGACTTTCTTATTTTTACTTTCTGGACATAGCCCTCAGAAGTGCCAGAAGAATATACTCTAAGTCTAAGGTTTTTTCTTTCTCTTTCTCAGAGGATAGTGATTTTACTGCTTGCTAGCCTTTTCCAGCAGTTAATTATAAACACCCCTCAAACCAACTCAACTGTGCTGCCAATGAGTGAGGAGCAAGACAAAGTCAACTCCGTGCCATTCCCTGCTCCCAAGCAGGCGTATATTCCTGAACATTTTTATGGCTAAGCATTTAAAACAAAGGCTAATGAGTCAACAAAAGGCTGTAAGCAGGGTTGGCAGAGGGTCCAAATCACAATCCAGCCTTTCTTCCTATTAAGGGTTTATATAGTGCCCAGAATTATGAAGAACTGTTCATTAAGTGATGGCATAAATTGAACCTTTCTGTTGATGTTAAACTCCTTCAAAAATAAATGTTACTTTTGGATATAAGGAAAAAATATAGCTAAACATACTGGGGGAAAAAAGAGTAGTTCTGTGACGATGCAAAGTACCTTAGAATTTGAAGAAGCTAGAGATTATAGGAAAAAATCATCACTCTTTAAGATTGGACTGTTTTTGTAGACTCATGGGATGCAACGTGTAGATTTATCTAGTTGGATGGTATCCATCATACCCTGATTTATCTTGTAACACACTAAGAGGATTGGAGCCGGTTAGATTTCTCCTACTTTAATATTTAAGTCATGTATAAATAACAATTCAGTCAAATCAGCTTATTTTAAATTCATTCAGGATTTTTAAATTATTTCTGATATGTTCTCTTCCTATGCGCTTTTCAGACCTTACTCACCAGAAAGGTGTGTGGTGTTGCCCGCATACCATAGCAAGTGAGGTATAAAAATATCAGGATGAACTGAAAAGAGAGTGCATATTATCCTAATATCTCCTTTATTTGTTTTTGTAATCAAGGCTCTCTCAAAGTTTTTAATCGAGAAGACTACTTCAGTTATTGAGATTTAAGGGATTACCTGGTTGGAATATTAAATATTGAATTTAATACAAGATTTAACTGCAGTTTGTGTGGATAGTTTTTCCTTTTTATGCATTCCTGGTACCAATATGACAGGCTAAAAAACAATTAGCATGTGCAATGCCTCTCCCCCACTCCCAGCACAGTCATGTTGCTGTCGCACTGAGGTTGTAGACACTGTCTACAGGTTGGGAAGGATATGATTCCTTTCTTCTGCACACACAATTCATAATGAAAATACTGATTAGCCATTAACTATAGATGAACAAGTGATGGTATTCTAATACATTGGCACACACAACGTTGCTCTAATTTTCCAGCTGTTGAATCAAACACAATGTTGGCTTACATAACAGAACCAAATAATGTTCTATTTTGTAAGCATTATCAAAAATTAGTCTTGCAAGCAATGTCAAAGAAAAATGTTACAGTATAAGCCTAGCTAAAAAGAAATACATTTTTTCATCCCATACTTTCTATGCAGACATGGGCTCCTTCCCTTGATATGGTGTCACCATTTATTCTGGTCCAGGGCTGCTTTCTCCAGTAAGCCCCATTTAGTCATGTACTTGACTATGATGTCCAGACAGTTGTTGGGGCTTCAGCCTCTAAGTGAAAGACTCTATCCTTGCTTGTGTTTGTATGACTTTATTTGCATTCTGTCATCTGTTCTTCCACCACATCCTCATTTTTTTTCAAATGAAGGAAATGGTTGCTAACACATGGAAATAGTGAGGATAACATGTAAAACTACTGAACATAATGTGAACTGGAATGTTAGAATTCTGCTTGCTCCAGTCAAGACTGAGATAAAGCAGAGAAATTAAGGAAGCAGGCAAGTAGAAGGAAAATATTTTTTCCAGGTATATGTCAGTGTCTTCTTGTTAAGTTTCCTTAGCAAGTTTTAAATAATATGAAAAATGTTATACTGATAGTATTTTTCTAATTTCCTTGCCAAACTGTCCCATTGCAGTTATCTATGTTGGTTGCAAAGTTCTTGATAAAATATCTTGCAGTGAGTTTTAATGGCATTATTTAAAACAGGGGTGGGCAAAATAGGGCCTGTGGGCCAGATCCAGCCTGTGAGACCATTCTATCTGGCCTGCAGGCCCCCTAAAAAAATTTAGAAAATTAACATTGATCTGTCCTTGGTTCCTGTCAAAAATGAGAGAAACCAGGGGCAGTAGGACCCAGGGGAAGCCTGGTGGGTTCCTGCAACAGGGCCCGCTTGGCCCCACCCCCCCCATCTGGAAGCCCCAGCAGGGGCTTCTGGCCTGGGACCATGTGACTGCACCACGCCAGAAACTCAGGTAAGGGTAGGGGAGGAAGGGCAGGGGAGGACCATGGGCAGGGAAGGAGCCCAGGGAATAGCAGCCCCTTGCCTGCCCCTTGACCTGTACTCCCTGCTGCAGCTGTTTGTAGACCATGTGGGGCTGTCCTGATCAGGCACAGGTAGCCCTGTGTGGGCTGCAGGTGGCTGCAGTGTGGGGCGCTGGCCATGGGATGGGTGAGGAGCTGCTTTTCCGGTGCTCAGTACCAGCTTGTAACGCACCTCTGCTGCCAACCTGGGCCCCATGCTGGGGCTCACCTGTTGGTGGCAGCATCTGCAGCCCCCCAGCTTGCCACATTGGGCAGTGTTTGCTGCTGGTGCCCACCCAGAGCTTGCGCGCTGGGCAGCCCAGAGGCAGCGGTGGCAAACACTGCCCGATGCAGCAAGTGGGGGTGGGGGGCACAGCTGCTGCCGCCATGGCACAGCCCTGACGAGGTGGCTGCAGTGTGGGGCGCTGGCCATGGGATGGGTGAGGAGCTGCTTTTCCGGTGCTCAGTACCAGCTTGTAACGCACCTCTGCTGCCAACCTGGGCCCCATGCTGGGGCTCACCTGTTGGTGGCAGCATCTGCAGCCCCCCAGCTTGCCACATTGGGCAGTGTTTGCTGCTGGTGCCCACCCTGGCAGCGGGGGGTGGGTTACAAGCTGGTGCTAAGCACAGGAAAAGTGGCCCCTTGCCCACTCTGTGGTGGGTGCCCTGTGCTGCAGCTCCTTGCAGCCCACATGTGGCTGCCTGTGCCTGCTCAGGACAGCCCCACACGGACTGCAAGTGGCTGTAGCAGGGAGCACCAGCCATGGGGTGGCTGAGGGACCACTTTTCCCCACACTCAACACCAGCTCCTTACCTGTCACAGAGCAGGGGGTTGGGGCTGCACACTTCTCCCTGCCTGTACCATAGGGGTGGGGGCACTGGGAGTGAGCGGGAGTGTGAGACCCACACCAGTGTCCTGGGGCTAGCGTCGGTGGGGCCCAGAGCAGGGCAGCAGGAGTACAGAGTCCTGGCTGATGGGGGCTCTATATAGCCAGGCCAGCTCCCCCCTCTCCCTGCTGGTGCAGCCTACCCTGGCTCCACAGACCCCTGCCAGCCTGCGCTGCACCTGGGCCCCACCGGTGCTGGCCCTGGAACATTGGTCCCAAGACACTGGGACATGGGTCCCAAGATGGTGACCAGGGGGCAGGGCACCTGTCAAGGGACGAGGCTACCCATGCAGCTCTCAACAGCTTGCCAAAACTGGTTACGTGGCCCTCCACCCAAAATAATTGCCCACCCCTGATTTAGAAGCTCTTCCCTCTCTACTCACTTCCTCCCCATCTACAAAAATGTCATAATTTCTATGCTTATGACACAGTTTTTAATATCATAATAGTTAAATATCTTAAGAATGGGAGAAAAATAGAAAGTTAGTGAATGATTAAATATGCAACTGAAAACAACTTTATTTTGAAACCCTATCAGTTTCTCAAATAAGTTATCTGAGTTGCATTGACCAGATCATGAATAGAGTCAATGCTGACAAATACAGAATGAAAACTAAGATCAGCACCGTAAGTAATGTGTACTTAAGGGAAATGTGTATCTTTCATTTAATAATATGCCAACTTGTTCAATTGTTTCTAAATCTTTATTAAAGGTAATAATTATTTTCAATAAAATGCATCAAAATAGAGATGTATAATTCACGTTTCACAGCCACTCATTTTCTATCCCAAAATATTGCACTGTAAATTAATTTACTTTCGTATTTTAATATCTTACTGGATGTTAGCTGAAGGTATCAGGTTAGTAGGAGCTACTGGGGAGCATGTTGGATTTTATTTTATTTTATTTTATTTTTGTCTGTGAACCCCTAAGTTTGGGTCAAAGATACTGAGGTCGCTCCCACTGCACATCTTAAGGAAGAAATATGAATACAGGAATCTATTCTGGAGAACTGAATAAAGGCACCGTGTACTGACAGTTTTAGTACAGGTATCCCTCTTCTGCTTCCTGATGGGTTGTGCATTCTTTTACAGTACAGCATCACAGCTGTCCTAGTGGTGTTGCTCAAACTGCAGAATTTCTTGTGAGCAGAAATGCTGCACCAATGGACAGGCTGGAAGTGAGGGAATACTAAGTCATTGGGCATGTCTGCATGTGCCCCTATGGTGCCATTGGTGCTGTGCCATCATTTAGCACTTCCAAAAGGCAGTACAGGCAGTAAAAGCCCATACTGTGCTGTGCCAGTGGTGCAAGGTTATTTTTAGCCACTACATTGCCATAGCAATGTGCTATATACCAAGGGAGCACACTGCTACACTGACCTAGCAGCAGCATCATGGTTTTTGTCTGCAGACACTACGTCACCATAGTGCATTGCTATGATGGCATGGCATTGCATGCAGATAAATCCACGGAGGCATTCATTTTACACTCTTTTTTTTTTTTTTTTTTTTTAATTATATCTCATAAGGATAATCCTGAAATGCATATTTTATTTTGACAATATCTTCTAGTGAAGTGAAGATGATGTAGTTTGTGTTAGGGTATAGTCTTCTCTAGTTTGCTATTTCAGCTTCACCTGCATGACACAGTATTTGTTTCTTCGAGACTTCCAGATGGAAGTACCAACTTTTAAAGGGAATTTGGTGATCGTTTTTATGAGGTCAGGAACAAGCCTCAGTTTATGCCCACCATTGTTAAATTTTCTCGATAAAAGTAACAATTATATGTGTTTTATAGTATAATGAAAATGTTTTCTAACAAGCAAAATAACTACATGATAAAACAAAACCATAACTCCCTCTTCATATTTTTTCCCCTGCACTTTGTTAGTACATGTACTTTTAGTGCCCTTGCGCCTTTGGTAATAAGCATTTCTTTTTAATAGCCTTATTTGTATAATCCCCACTTCAGCAATTTGAGAGTATATCTTAGTGATAAAATACTTTTGGAGAGTATCTATTCAATTAAATACTTAACTAGATATAATCAGGATGCCTCCCTAGATATCAGCCCTTGTTTTATTTCAGTCACTGGAGCCACTGTATAACTAGTCTTTCCTTCAGTCTATTTCTATTGACTATTACATTTTAAAACTATTGCTTTAACATCGTCTAGTCCTGAGAATTCTGTAGTCCTTATTCATGCAACATTTACTGACTGACTTCAATGAACCTTTGGCTCCCCTAAGGAATGATGATTAAAATTAACTACATTATGACCTGTGCTACCACCAATTCATTTTGTTTCTACTACTTGTTTGGCAGATTTAAATGACAGAGAAGTAAAAGGTCTGGTTGCAGAAGCTTTGCCTACACTAGGATGACTACAGTCCAGGTATTATCCCTTCTTCCTGTTCTCTGGCTGTATGAAGTGATTCTGGAAATTCTTCTGTTCTCCCTTTCGCAAGCAGCAACATTATCTTGTACTTTTGAAGTCAATGGGAAGATTGCCATTTACCACAATAAAATTAGGTTCACAAGTGCAGAAATGATTATCAGGATGTTACTGGCAATTTTGGGATGGATAGACACCTCCCACAGCAGCTATCTGGCATCTTGCTGACCTGTCAATTGGAGCCACTGGCTTAAAAGAAAGTGATATATTTTTACATGATGTATCATTGTAAAAGAATAGACAATGTCTTTTTTCTTTGTGAAGCTATTTTATCCTACCAAATTTTGAACTGTCCTGGGAATGAAATAGGGTTGGCTAGCTCCTGACTTCAGCCTAGATAGAACACATTTCTATCTAGTACAGATCTCAGCAAAACAAACCCAATTAAAGTTAAACTTCTTAAATGCATTCCAATTTATGAAAGCAAATGAAGAGCCCTCTCACTTATCCTCTTATTGCTGCTTAGGCGCTGGCTGATATCAGGAGGAATTTTTGTCCAGATGTTAGACAATATCCTGGAGTAAAACAAGCTTTGGATCACTTTCCCTTGCCAGGTTGGCCTGGTTTTATGGTTTTAGGAACAGCTTGGATATGTTTTGTGAAAGTACAATAGTACCTAAATGGCTGTCTCATCTTGATTTAGAGGTTTTAAAAATATCCCTATTGTTAATTCATCATAAAACTCCATACTGACATTTTAATATGCAATTTCTATGTCATGTTGGCTTTCATAAGACTTCCTGTTCTTTTAGGAGAACACTTGTTTTTATAGAATGGGGTTGGGGGAGAGGGGTGCATTTAAATTCCACTTCCAAACATAGCATAAGTCAAAATAAGTTATTCTCAATTAAACACTGAGTCTATTATTTGAACTTTTTTTTTCAAATATAAAGGCTGATTATAGATGTAATACTCTATTAAATCTATTTAAGGCCCATAGAAAAATATTTTGCTCCATATACAAAATATCATTGTTTTGTTGAAATTGTGACTCTCTGAAGATTAAGATAACTGGGCTCTGACTGTGGACAATAAAAACTTACTTGGCCTGCTTAAGGGTTTATTTCTGAAAGATGCACACTATTGCTGAGAAGGCTAAAATCCTTTCAAATGCCATTGACTTCAGTGGTTGGAGAGGAGGATGCTTAAGGCCTCTTGAGATGCTGTGCACCTCACAAGATTGTTCCCTAAGAAAGTGAATTGAATGATTAAACATAAGAATGTCAAACAGCGAGAAGGTGCTGCAGAACTTGATTCTCTACCTAATTACATTTCTCTTTTCTTGATTGCAGTTATTCAACACAGAAAGTAAAGTTGAATCGAAATTAAAATCATTCACTTTAAACTAAAGTTTTCACTTATGAATGTTATTATTTACTAGGTTGTATAAAGTTATTATTATAATACTAGTACTTAGGCTTCAGCCAAGTTAAGACTTTGTTATACTAGCATTTTGAATGCACAACAAATAGTTATAGACAATCCCTGAAGTTGAATGAATTTGTAATTTTAATTGCCTATTTTTGGTGATTCAGTATGATTATAGACTGTATCTAAATATAGTACTATAAAAAGGAATGCTAGGTAGGAAAACCAGAAAGCCCCCTAGCAGCTGGCCATTACTTCTGCAAACTATTTCCCACATATTTCCATTATGTTTCCTTTGTTCCGATGTCTTCACTGATTAGTCTAACAAAACTAAAATTGGTAGGAAATAAACTAAGAGCAACTGTATACTCCTTTCCAATACTACTTGTATTGCAGTACTATGGGAGGGCACTCGATGTGCCTGCCACTTTAAGAAGTCAGGCAGCCTGCTGAGCCACTGGCAGGTGAGGGTCTGGGCTAACTGAGGAGTCAGCTGACCTAGGGGGTCAGAAGTTGAAGCTAGGTCTGATTAAGGAAGTCAACCGATTGGAATAGAGGGCTGGGTTTAGACATGGTATAAGACCAGATCCTGTGAGCAGGGCCGGCAGTAACATCTTAGGAGCTTGTGAAGGAGCATCACCTAATAGGAAGGCTGCCCTTCCTGAATGTTAGCAAGGAGATCTGGAAATACATCTGGAGATATGGATAGGAACTAAGGGAATGGAAGAGGTTCCTGGGGACCAAGTGTGGGGTCCAGAGCTCTGAGAAGGTGGCTGAGTGCTTGGGGCCCAGTTAGAGGTCAGCTGAGCCCAGAAAGAGAGGGGTTGAGTGGAAAGGGGCTGAGTGTTTGAGAGACCTTGTGGAGGGGCTGGGTGAACCCAGTGAGTGGGGAAGAGTACCAGAGCCTATCGAGGGGTCCAGATAAGCCCAGAGAAGGAAGGGGTTATGTAGGAAGACCTATGGAGGGATGTGAGCCCAGAGAGAGGAAGCAATCTATGGAGGGACCTGAGAAGGTGGACCCACAGATAAAAGAGGGCTGACAGATGGAGGACTAACCCTGGGAATCTCAACTGGCCTGTGTAGGGCCAGGGCCCAGGAGGGGCCAAAGGATGAAATAGACCATGGCAGAGAAGGCCAGAGCCAGGAGAACCTGGAGTTCTCAATTGGTCTGAGGTGGGGCCAGGGCCTAGAAGAAGCCAAAGGTCCTTGTGTGGCCACAGCTGAGAAGTGGTCAAGGGGAATGCAGCCTGGGATGATGATGGCTGGTGTTAGGCCATCTGAAGAGAGAGGATCAATGAAAGGGGTCTGAGAGTGAGCTGGGGGCCAGAGATGGAGGACTCAGATGTGAGATGGAGACAGGGCCAGGAAGCCTGGTGGCTAGCAGCTCAGGAAGGGTGTAAGACATCTTGGGGGAGCCCAGAGAGGGACAAGTAAGATCAGGAAGGCCTGAAGACCGGTTCTGGGTAAGACCTGAAACTGCATCCTACTGGAGCTGGTTAGCTTGGTGGGGCTGTCTGTGGCAGAGCAGCCTCTATGGAATGCCATGCATGGGCCACTTCAGTGAAAGGCAAGAATTGGGCACCAGAAAGCCTCAGCTTCCACTTCCGTGTGGGTTATCCCATGGAGGGGGAAGGCTAGGGGAGCACACCCCAACAGAAAGGCACTCGGCAAGGAAGACCATCTGGATTTAGAGGCCCAGTGAGGGGACCACATAGGTCCAGGGGCCCAGTGAGAAGCCAGGGAAGACCAGGCCCATGAGGGTTTCATAGTTTCATAGTTTTAGGGTCGGAAGGGACCAAATAGATCTTCTAGCCCGACCCCCCGCCAGGGCGGGAGAACAACAAAAGAACCCTAAAAACAAAAAACGGGACTCAAATGAGTCCAGCCAGGTAGGTATCCAGCCTCTTCTTAAAGATCCCCAGGGTAGGGGCCAGCACCACCTCCCTTGGAAGTTGGTTCCAGCTCCTAGCCGCCCTAACTGTGAAGTAGTTTTTTCGGATGTCCAATCTGTACCTCCTCTCCATCAACTTGTGCCCATTATTCCTTGTTATGCCAGCAGGGGCTAGGGGAAACAGCGTCTCCCCCAAACCCTTCTGGTTCCCCCTAGTGAGTTTATAGACGGTCACCAGGTCCCCCCTCAGCCTTCTCTTGTGGAGGCTGAATAGGTTCAAGTCCCGCAGTCTCTCACTGTAGGGTCTGCCCTGTTGTCCCCGGATCATGCGGGTGGCCCTCCTCTGGACCCTCTCCATGTTGTCCACATCCCTCCTGAAATGGGGCGCACAGAACTGGACACAATACTCCAGCTGCGGCCTGACCAGCGTCGCATAGAGGGGGAGGATCACCTCCCTGGCTCTACTCGAGATGCACCTGTGGATGCACGACAAGGTCCGGTTAGCCCTGCCAACCATGACCTCGCATTGTCGGCCCATGTTCATCTTGGAGTCAATAATGACACCAAGATCCCTTTCCGCCTCCGTGCTCTCAAGTAGGGAGCTCCCCATCTTATAAGTGTGCTGCTGGTTCCTACTACCCAAGTGCAGCACCCTGCACTTGTCCGTATTGAAACGCATCCTGTTCCTGTCTGCCCACCCCTGTAACCTATCCAGATCCTTCTGCAATCTCTCTCTCCCTGCTAGCGTGCTCACCTCCCCCCAAATTTTGGTGTCATCAGCGAATTTAAACAGGTTGCTCTCCACCCCAACATCAAGATCGCTGATGAAGACATTGAACAGCGCAGGGCCCAGGACCGAGCCCTGAGGGACTCCACTACCCACCTCCCCCCAAGTCGAATATGATCCATCCACCACCACCCTCTGAGTGCGACCCTTCAGCCAATCTGCAATCCATCTGACCGTGTAGGCATCTATGCCACAGTCGCCTAGTTTACTAATTAGGATGGGGTGAGAGACGGTGTCAAAGGCCTTGCTGAAGTCCAGAAAGACTACATCCACCGCGACACCTACGTCCATGGCCTTAGTGACCTGTTCATAAAAGGTAATCAGGTTGGTCTGACAGAATCTCCCCCTAATAAATCCATGCTGATTGCCCCTGAGCATCATCTCGGATGCCGGCCCATCACAAATGTGCTCCTTGATGATCTTCTCAAAGAGCTTCCCCAGGATTGAGGTAAGACTGACGGGCCTATAATTGCCCGGGTCCTCCCTTTTCCCTTTTTTGAAGATGGGGACCACATTAGCTACCTTCCAATCGTCTGGCACCTGGCCCAAGCACCACGATCGCTCGTAGAGCCGTGCCAGGGGCCCTGCAATAACCCCAGCCAGCTCCCTCAGCACCCTGGGGTGGAGAGCATCCGGACCCGCTGACTTGAACGCGTCCAGCCCCTCCAGAAGCTCTCTAACCCGGTCCTCCCCAACCTGAGGTCTGAAGGCGATCCCCTCGCGTCCGGCTTCTATCACAGCAGGGAAGTCCCGGTCCCTGCACAAGAAAACGGAGGTGAAGAATTGGTTAAAGAGGTCCGCTTTATCCTCTGACGCAACCACCAGATTGCCCCGCATATCCTGCAGGGGCCCCACATTACCCGGCGCCTTCTTCATCCTCCCAATATATTTGAAAAAGGACTTTTTGTTATCCTTAATCCTGGACGCTAATCCGAGCTCTATCTCCGCCTTGGCCTTCCTAACAGCCCGCCTGCAGGCCCGAGCAGAGGAGGTATACTCCTCTTTGGAGATTACACCCCCCTTCCACCGGGCGTACGCCACCCTTTTGGCAAGCAGGCATTCCCGGACACCCTTGGTGAGCCAGGGGGGCTTTTGGACACTCCTGCCCGCCTTGCTTCTT